TCAAATTTGGGGCTTGGAAAAGCAGAGAGTCCTCAAAAGATGAAAATTCTGAGCAAGATGGACTGACACAGTAATTGACATAATGGGCAGCAGGTATCGGAAGGATGGCACAGGTTTGGGCATGTTTTCATTCTTTGTGCACAAGGTTGATATGAGTTGGAGACGCCTCAGCAGCACCTAAGAACAATGACAAAGGTTTCTAACAAGTTTTGATATCTAACAGTTAAGCCTTCTCATTTTGAGGTGGAGGGGTTCCTCTATTGTGTTTACTTCTAAGGAACAGTCTGGTTGTGTAGAGCCAAAGATGGTGAAACTTTGCCTCACTTACTTTGGGCGTATTATCAGAAGGAACCAGTTTATAGAGAGAGACCTCATGGTTGGAAGGGTAGAGGGACACTGTCAATGAGAGGGGTTGCCATGGTAATTACCATACTCTTACACAGATCAGAAGACAAGGTGCAGATCTGCTGTTCGCAGGGCCCCTTGAGTTGTGGTTGAGGTAACAACGCATAGCAACAATCACAACCAAGTCCTGTTACATAACCTTGAATATTTATATTTCCAAATAAATCCATTGTCACACTAAAAAAAAGTAGCAGCAAAATTAAGACATATATTTTTACATATGTATGTAAATGGTGGAATTCCCCCTTGGGCGAATAGGATTGAATGGAGAAAATACATGTATGCTCAAGACAACATGAAAATTCACATCACGTGAGAAAACAACATGTTTTAGTTTGGGCTTATCTCTTGGCTCAGTGTAACCCTAGCCAAGGGTAAAAAGGAAGACACTACATAAAGGTATTTTTTTTTTAATTATTTTGTGTGCGTGTACCGTCAAATCAGATCTGACTGGTACAGGAGGATATTGCGCCTCCTTCTCCGGCAGAGCATCTGGTGGATTCGAACCGTGTTTCTCTGGGCATAAAGGTATTTTTTAAATAGTGAGATAGGGTTTGGGATTTTCCTGACTCACACTCACGTCTCCCAGGATCAAGAAAATCTCTGTCAAAGTACTTGTCACTCATTGCTGTCAATTTGGAACTGACTCATAGCTAACCCTCTTCTGGGATCTTGTATTGGTAAATCTCTTGGAAGAAGATTGCCCTTCTTTCTCACTCAGAGTTATAGGTGGATTCAAACCACCAGAGAGACAGCTTTTGGGTAAGTAATGCAACTCCCATAGACCACACCATAATGCAAGATAAAAAACATAAAGACACATACAGGGGAAATGGAGAATTCATGAAATAAACAATTACAGTATGAACAGTTATTTTTTAAAAAATAAAAGGCACATACCAAGAATGACTTAGAGTCTATGTGTCTGTTTATTTCAGGGTACAAGCATATTAGCATCAATGACTTCTGCTCACCATGATAATAAAGAATTCCCCAACCCAGAAACATTTGACCCTGGTCACTTTCTGGATGAGCGTGGCAACTTTAAGAAGAGTGATTACTTCATGGCTTTCTCAGCAGGTAACTTCTGTATAAATATCTGTAATCAGGGAACAGAATACATGTAGGAAATCACTTGAGACTTGCATGGTTGTAACTCTAGAGCTGATTCAATTGCCCCTTCTACAGGATCATAAGCACCACTACCAATGCCCATGCACTTTCCCATCTATGATGCGTCCTTACTGTTGGACCACAGCAGTGGGTCCTTGGGGATGTAAGTCAGTACTTCCAAAGGGAGACGGAGTGAAGGAGCTGATTGAGTTCTGTCTGTACTGAGCTATGCAATTAAAAAGTTCTTCCTGAAAGGTAAAATTCATCTAGACTTTTTCCAACTATTTTGAGAAACTTATCTAACATCACAATTTTACTGAATGAAAAATGGCTATAGAGTTGTGAGTAAAAGAATGAAAGTCAAATAAGGATGAAATTTCACAATTAGACAGAATCTGAAGTTAAATAATTTGGGCCTTAACCTATAAGATAGGCATGGGGATCATTTAAAATTTGAAGTATAAGAATGACATGGTCAGACTTGCACATTTCAAAGAGAAAAAAAAAGTTTGTCAGAACTTTGTGCTCGAATATAAAAAGAAATAGAGCAAGCATATCCATTCCTTTGGTATCTTCCCGTTCAAATATTTTTCCAACAATTCTGACTCCATCCATCATCCATGGAGTCCTCAAATGACCATTATTTCTGTTAAGTATGACAATTCAGAAATAAACTGTTCAAGGAGTGTCTAACTTTTGTGTCTGTTGTTCCAGGAAAACGAAATTGTGTGGGAGAAGGTCTGGCCCGCATGGAGCTGTTTTTATTCCTGACCACCATTTTACAGAGATTTACCTTGAAGCCTCTGGTTAACCCAGAAGACATTGACATTACCCCAGTTAACCGTGGAGTTTCATCTGTGCCACCCTCCTTCCAGGTCTGCTTCATTCCTATCTAAAGAAGAACATATTTTCTGATTCCTCCTGTCCTGTCTTCTGCAAGTCACTCTGACACGGTCAGTATTCACCAAATCAACAAACCACAGGCACAGTAACAAAGGGAAAATAAGAAGATGCAAATAAAATAAATCATCGAATAAAGGGATAATGCCACCAAAAAATCAAATGGAATAGAAAGAATAATAACAGAAAACTAAGAGGAACTGTACTCCAATAGATTTGAAAACTCAGGAAAAAAGAAATTCACTTCTAGAAGCACACAACCTAGTTATACTAACCCATATTCAACAAAATTCTTTATGATAGGATCCAATTAAAAAAAAAACACCTCCACGACCATGTGGGATTCACACTAGCCATTCAAGAGTAAGTAGTTCAACACTAAGAAAACAGTCAATATCATTAACTACATAAATTTAAAAAAGGAAAACTACTACATGATAATTCCAATTGATCAAAAAAAAATCTTTGCTAAAACTCAATGTGTACCTGGTTTTTAAAAGAACTCTCAACAAGACAGAGAATGGAAATTCCTCATATAATTAAAAGCATATGTGCAAAGACATTGAGTCATGAAGTCTGTCTTTTCTGTAGCTGTTCATACGATTCTGCCTCACTATATTTCTTCTGCTTCTCTGTCTTGAGTATTCAGTTGGATCAGCAATATACTCTGCTTTTAAAGAGAAGGCTTATTTTATTTTTCACAATATTTGAAGCTGCCTGTGACTTTCTTGAGATTATGTACCATTTTCCTTGGTATGTGTTAGGTCATTTCTATTGTGTCTGCATAGGTTGTTGACAGTCCTTTATCTTCATGGTGTTATTGATTAGTTACAGGATTAAAGTGGCCCATCCATGGGGTGGGCAATGGGCTCTACTGAAAGTCCTTTCTGGGCATGTGAAGCAGGAAAGTTTGCCTTTCCTAAAGTTCTTCAGATCCTCCCTGGTCAGCAGTGCAGCCCAGCGGGAATCTCACCATATTGCAGCCCTCTCTCCTAAACTCTATTGTCCTCTTTTTTCTGCAGAGTGTCATGACCAGGTTCCCCACCTTAAGCAGTTTCTGTCCAGGAACTTTCCAAGCAACTTCCTCTCTGGCTCTTCAATATGCCAGAAGCTAGTGAGCATTATACTGAGTGAACTAACACAGTCTCACAAGGACAAATATTGTATAAGACCATTATAAAAAGAGCAAGAGTGAGGGGACAGCCGGGTCTGAACTTTACCAACTTAACAAAGGGGAATTATCCCCATCAACAGGAACAACAACACAAAATCAACTCCCATGAAGTCAGACATGATCCCCCCCACCCTCCCATAGCTATTTCTACTCATCTCAATACCAACACCACTGCTTTGTGGGCCCAAAATCCCACGTGAAAGCTCACAGATCACACAGAACCATATTAGAGAAGTTGAAAGCCTGCATTTCAAGTTAGTAGCAGAACGCATTCAGAACAGCTTCCAAAATGTTGTCACAGATGCCTCAGCCTTGAACCTCATGCCTTTAGGCCAGTGTTAACAAATTTTTCAGTTTTGTCAGTTTGGCTCTCCTCCCACCCCACTCCTCACAGTCCTCCAATAAACTCAGGCAGAAGGCTCTTGGCTCTGATCCTATGGTGTAGCACTCCCAAGGTCCGCTCCATATCATGTTGGCTCTCTGGTTCTCCACTGTGGCTGCTGAGGCTACTGCTCTCTGCTCTTGTAGGTCTAGCTGTAACAAGAAATACTGAGCCTGAAGGATGCACTCTGCATGCCTTCTTCTCCAGTGCTAGTGGCCAGGTTTCCTCCTTCTGTTGCTAGATATGCTCAATTTAATGGTGAGACTAGCCAATCCCCTTGTAGATGGCAGGACTAGTCAATCTAGGGTTGGGTTGGGGAGACTAGCCAATCTCTTTTCACATAGTCCCGCCCATCTACATGGCAAAGTCAAATTCAAGGCTAGGAAAGACATTTTGAATACTAAAGCCATCATGCTACAACCATCATAGAAAAAATAGAAAGATAACTAGTAAGATGTGTCTTAAAGTCCAAAGGGGGAAGGGGAAAGGAAAGGGGTCTGAGGGTAGGTAGGAGAAGAAATCATGGGGTTGCAGAATTTGGTAGGTGGAGGAAGGAGTGAAGGAATTAGGATAAATGCAGTGGGGACCTGAATAGATGGAGTAATAGTGGGCATAGATCAACTGACTAATTTAATAAAACATAATTTATGGGAATAATCATGAAATGTTCAATGTTAGTGAAAGTATATGTGAAAAACAGTGTATATGAATGAAACACATTTTATCTTCTTAATAGATTGTGCCTTAAATAAATATGTAATACTCATTCTTATATTTTTATAGTGGTATTCATTCTGAAGTCTCTTTTATCAGAAATTAGAATTGCCAATCAGAAAAAGCACAAGCTTTTTTGTGCTTGCCATTTGCTTGATATTTTTTTCCCCCCAGCCTTTGATTTTGAGTCTTTCTTTCCATTTTTTTTAAATGAGTCTCTTTTAGGCAACTTATTTTATGACTACCCAAGACTCTGTGCTTTTTCAATATATCTTTACTCAAGAATGCAATGGTTAAGTAAGTCTGATCAAAGACTGTTGACTCAAAGTGTTCCAGGGGATGTGCCAGGACTGTTTGCAGCCCCAGCATTCCGTCCTTCATTACTTAGCTCAGAGCGCTTAACCTTTAGGGATAAATGGCTCAAAGAATGCTGATGCAGAGCAGTTCCTGGGAGAAGATCAGAGCCACATTCAGCCCCGACATACCTAAGGGTCACTCATGTTCCTGGGCCCCAGGTGTTCCTGGAACATTTCCTTGTATAGTCTCTGCCTTTCTTTTTCCTTTTCCTGCTTGCCCTTCTTCAGAACATGAATCTTTCCAATAAAAAATTCAATGTGGGTCTACAAATTCATTCAAGTGCAAATCTCTTCAGAGTACCAGTTGGGACTCAATTTTTCCCTTCCACCCAGACCTAACACCCACTTACCAGATTCTACTTTTAGCAAGTTTATTTCCAGGGCAGATATTCCCTTTTAGTACACCCAATAAAATACAAGCCAAAGGCAGAATTTCACACTTCCTAAATCTATGCTTGTGAGTATTCACTTATATTTTATATTTTTTTATCCCCTCCATTTCTTTTAATTGATTTGCAAAAACCACATGTAGACACTGTGCTTTACCCATGCACAACGTGTCCCACACAATCTCTCATACACAATGTACTTCATATAATTAATTACCACCTATCCATGTCTATTAACACAGTGTACCCCACAAGACCCCACTAAACCTCCCCCTACTCTGTCTCACCACCCACCCACCTCCATCATCTCATGATCATCTCTCTTTTTCCATCCCCTCCCTCCATTCCTTTTGTTTGTTTGTTTTCATGGGCACCTCACAGGACAGCCAGCAGACCCCCGCAGACCTAACCTATTTTCTCAGGTAATCAGAGACGCCAAAAGCCCACGACATCCATTCCGGCCCTCGGGCCACAAG